TAACACTGTTAATGCAAACAGCTTCAAACTCAGCAGGATAGATAGGAAGTATTTTGATTAAATACAGACCCAAAATTCAAGTTAAAGGTTAATATGAGAGTTAAATACTTTTGCATACGTTTGTTTGCTCTCTGACTACTTTCTCGTGCCCCCGTCCTTCCCACAATGCTTTGCACTTCGTCTCCCTACTTTCCTGTTTGTCATGTGTAACCAGCTCCAAGCCAACGGTCCTCGCTACTCTGTTCCCGTTTTGCTCACACTTGCTCCATTTCAGCTTCCTATGTGTGTCTCTTCTGTGCTGTGCCCTCTAACACCCTCTGCTGCCAGCTCTACTCCCTCCCTCTGCTGTTCTCATGCCTTTGTTTCCCCCTTAACAATAAGTCTTCAGTGCTTACATAAAGGAGTTAATCATTGACACACAGGAAGAACCAATTTTCATTTCATTGCAGTGGTTGTTGCTAGCTTTGGAAACAGCAGCCACGCTCTCCAAAACCAAAGCTTTGTTTATCCTGTTTTCTTTGTCCAGAGAAAGGATGAAAGGTGGCACAGGAAGTGTGTGGACCCTGGGGGTTGGCGAGAGGAGCATGTAGAGATATTGTTACTGTAAAAAAACAAAGAAAGCAAGAGAATAGGAGACAAAGCAAGTGGTGGTGATGAATGAGGACACTGTTTAGACGCTGACATGGTTTAAAAACCAGGTCGTCGGAGACGCAGCTGAGTTTGAAGCCTCGCTCTCGTTCTACTCGAAGAGCAGCTGTTCACTGACCAGATGTTCTTTCTCCTTTTTAAAGCCAATAACAGCAGCACACAACACCTTTCTCCTTATCAACAATGGCCGGGCTCAGTAAAGCTTTTAGCAGCTTAGAGAAAATGGACAAGGCTCATTGGCTCACATGCTGGTGGTGCAGCACGTGCTAGTGTTTATTTCTCAGAACTGCAGATATGCCACAAAGCAGCTGCTCTCTGGGTCTTTGTCTGGACTAGTCCAGCCTCACGTGTCCTCCTCCCTCCCTCCCTCATGGACCCTCCCAGGCGTTCATTATTACATAACGGGTTTCTAACTCGTGTCACCTTTAAAAAACATTAAAAACAACATCCTATATGTTCTTAAAGGCCCTGTATAGGTGTCATTACGTTATGCTCAGAACATTTTGTCTCCTCTGGAATGATAAAAGAATCTAAATGCACTTCCCCTCCCGTGTCTGTACGGCAGAGCACCGCCCTCATGCGTGCTATTGGCTGCCCCTACATGTAGTCCTGCCCAAGCAGAGTGAAGTCTGAAGCTGATTGGTCTTGCCTGTGTTTACATGGAAGCCTCTGTCCCTGAGAGGCTGGGCTAAAACTGAGCTTCCCCAACCTGCCTCCATCTGAGCGTAAACAAAGACCTCAGGGCTGTGGAAGTTCACAAGCTGGAACTTTTGGACTTACCATGACAATTGAAACTCCAGACAAGCAGCAGCAACTTCAAACACGTTGGCTAACGGCGCTCCTTTCTCACTTCGTCCCCTCCAGGCAGCCGCAGCCCACCCCAGGACAGACGCCTATGGTGTCCCCGCGGGCTGAGACCACCCCCATTCCAGTTCCTACGCAGGTTCGCAACTACCAGCGCATCAAGCAGAATCTGTCCAGCAGCCCGAACACCACACTCTACAGCTCCCCCAGGTAAGGACTCTGCTGGGATTGCTCCGTTAACTTTGCATAACTCATCGAGTGATGAGCTGCAGAGGAAGGCTTAACTCACCACAACTACACCAGTATGAAAACTGTTATTT